AGTAGGAGCAGTAGTAGCAGTAGTATTCTTGTTGTTGTTGTTGTTGTTGTCGTTGTCGTTGTCGTTTTCGTTTTGGTTGTTATTGTCGATGCTGTTGCTGTTGCTGTTGCGGTTGCGGTTGCGGTTGTGGTTGCGGTTGCGGTTGCGGTTGCTGTTGCTGTTGCTGTTGTTGTTGTTGTTAATGACGATGTTGTTGTTGCTGTTGTTGTTGTGGTTGTTGCTGCTGCTGCTGCTGCTGCTGCTGCTGCTGCTGCTGCTGCTGCTGCTGCTGCTGCTGCTGCTGCTGCTTTCGTTGTTGTTGATTTTCAACGGCATCATGAACGTCATCAGCAACATCATCAGTTTTATTATCACTCTACGCAGGTTCACCTTCTCGAAGCTGTTTCTTTCGCTTGCCTCGAGCGCGTTCAGTTCGCTTCATCAGCGCATCATCGCAGAACAAGAGTGCAGATGGTGGACTTCACGAACTGATCCGATGCAGGGGCCAGAGGAAGATGGTCCAGGTAGTGCTGCCCTGAGCTTTTGAAACCCTTTGCTTGGCATTGGGGCAGGGCTTGGGTTGTTGATGGTATGCGATATCGTTTCCTAAGTTAGTTTGGTGCGATTCAGTTCGAGGCTTCGCGATGGCGGGTTGGAGTTCGAGTGCCCAATGCAAGTGCAAGCAGTCAGGTTGCGAAGGTTATAATTCGCTCAAACAGAGAGCGTCCCAGGCATGAATGGAATGTCACTCGGCTGTTCGGGCTCTATAAACTCTATTTCATAATTTTTCACTCTGCGCGGTTGAGTCTTGTGCGGACGCTCGCTTAGCATACAAATTTTAGAATTCACATGCAAACGGCTTTGCTGGTATTCTTATGAGGCCATGCAGGCAAGCAGAATGAATGCAAGACAAGCTGAGAACTCAGGGCCTGCATCCTGAGCTAACAAACCTACACCCCCCGAGCAGAAATCTACAAGGTGTGCACCCAGGGGTGGAGAATCTGAGCAGTTCAAGCCCATGCAATGGACGTTATCACACCCCCACAGCGGAAGGTAGCCCGTCCATCCTGCAAGCCTCCTTCAAAGGCAAATCTGAATACATGTTTGCGCATGAAAGGTTGCCTGTGACGCCGTAGCTGCCGGGACCCTCAAAAATGTGCCATACGATCCTACCTGTGACGGCGAAAAGGAACCATCTAATCAACATGAACATCAAAAGGGGATATGTGCAAGCCATGCCAGGCGTTGCTCAGTTAAAGGGGGGTCGTGAGATCACCACCCGCCCCTCCCCATAAGAAAATCGCTCTCATTTACGTTCTCAGGAGCAGCTGCTTGATGGCACATCCGCGAGAGATGCAAATTGCCGCAAACCATCAAACTCCCGACGACAGGGACCCTGGCAATCAATCAGCCCCAGTAGAACCGAGTTCACCACTCCATCCAGGAAGGGTTGGCACCCTTGCCGTCGTTCGGCCGCCGATTTCCCAAAGCCATTTGAGCGAAGGTTTCGGTGTTGAAGGCGTTCTCGGTAGCCGCCCGACCAGCATTAGGCAACACTTGTAGTATGGGGAAAGAACGAAAAACTGCCTCTTTAGATAAGTGCGCAATCATTTAGCTTTCTTGACCCTTGAACTTTTGGAAGAAGCCCTGGCCTCGAAAGCATGTTAATGTTTGTTGACAAAAGAAGGACCTATCCCTTGTGAATGCAGGCCTTGTCATGAAAGCAGCTTTTGTCGTTCTGAATACAGGCACCAAGGGCCCCGAGCGGACTGTTTTGAATGCAAGGCATTTCCTGATTGTGGTTCTGGATGCTGCTAGCCAGGGGTCGTAGGGAGTAAACGGCTTCTTTACATAAGCCATTCCGGATCCCTGAACTCTTGGAAACACATGTGCTCTAGGCGTGTCGACAAGGAAAAGTCTGCAATGAATACGAATCTTCTGGTTGTGGTTGTGACTGCCGTTGGCCACAGGAGGGAATGGCTTCTTTAGACTAGCCATGTACTTTAAAACCTACCTTCCGGATCCTTGATCTTTTGGAAAGCCCTGGCCTTGAAAGCAGCTCTGTTTTCTTGAGAATCACGGTGTATCTCGCATGACACAAGCCTCGGCTTGAAAGCAGTTGTGCATGTTGAAATTTGTCTCATCATCTCCCACGCCCCTGCCAAAACTGTGTAAACGCCATGCCTGCTATCCTTGCGAAGTCCGCGATTGAATCAATGCTTCCAGGTGAATATGGTACCGACTGTTAATGTGATGCTCGGATTGTTTGACTCTCGCCAAACTGCCTTGAACCGCTCCGAGCTCACCCATCGAAAACTGCACAATTTTCGCCACTCTGCACTCAGGCCTTGGGCCTGCAGGCCTCTCCCGCAGCAGACTCAGCTAAAGCCGGAGTGCCAGCAGGCGGGCGAAGACGCAAGGGTCAGGCTCTGGAAAGTTGGCCGTTCAGGAAAAGACTTGACATGTCGTCGTGAAAGCCCCAAGCCTGGACTTCGAAGACGGCCATTCTCAGTTCTGGTGCCAGGAGAGCAGCCGAATCGTTGGGGTGCCAGTGGCGCGAGCCTTGGGTGGCGCCGTCATACCGGGCTCTTACCATTGTTGTTGCCTCATAGTACGGAGCCACCTCGCACTGTGACACACTGCAGACTATAGTGAATCTTGCTCATTCTTGATCCTACCAACCATGACGCCGCGTTGGATGACAGCATTGATAGCAGCAGACACAGCAAGAAAAGTTGCCACAGTAAGCACATGCAAGCGAGAAAGCCGAAGTAACAAACAGAACATTCAGAGAGAGAGAGAGGGAGGAAGAGGCAGAGTGGCAATGGATACGTTTTTTGCCGTAGAGATATTGATGTCTTTAGTGATACTTCCGCTGAGTCATGATGCGAAATCATTGCAAGGCCGATGCTCGGGAATCCGCAGCCGCAGGTTCATAGCTTCAGATCTTGCCAAATCCGATTCCTCGAAAGGTCTGTGCAGCTGACCCACGATGCAGCTCGGCAAAAGTTGCATGGTGTTTGCTTAAAGCGTTGTGGCAGCTTCCAGGCCTTTGAAGTTGCGGAAGCTCAGGAGGGTCCTCCTTGCTTTCCTCACAGCGCAGCTCGCCTGGGCTATCCGCAACTAGGGTCACAGTGCCCAGGAGGAGGCGGCCTCCTACGTCGACGCCGTGGTGCCTTTTCCAGGTGACATGATCTCCGGCATCACCGCCTGGAAATGTACCCGCTTCGGCCACGGTATCTATGACAAGGAATCTGGCCAATGCTTTGTTCAAGGGGCAGCAATGACTCGTCTGGTTTCGTGCTCGCGTTGGGAAGACTGCGTGGGTCCTGACACTAAGTACTTCGACGACAAGGGGTTTTGCTACTTCCCGAAAAAGTGCACCAAAATCACTCCGGCCAAAAATCAGTATGATTGCCTCAATGGAATATTCACTGGATGCGGTGGTGGCAAGTGCCTGAGGGAGTGAAGAGTGAACAGGGCCAATCGTCATTGCCGCTGCAGAAGGAAATTTGTTGCTGACATGCATGTCGTCCCTGTCGAAATACCTCACAATCAAGCCCAAACTCCCACCCAAGCGCTTGAAACCATTTATCTGTTTATTATGACCTGTAGACACGCATGCAAACTTGATGCGTGTGTGTACATAAACATGTGCACCAGTTTGCGTGCATGTACTAACTATACAATTATGACTCATGACCTTTGTCTAGTCGGTTCAAGAAATCCTCAGAGTCTGACAGGTTTTACTTCGAAAGAAATAAAAATTAATGGAGGGAATAGAAATGGAGAGAGCGAGAGAGAGGTAGAGAGAGCGAGACGGAGAAAGAGAAAGTCAGAGAGAGAGAGAGAGAGAGAGAAAGAAAGAGCGAGAGCGAGAGCGAGAGCGAGAGCGAGAGAGAGAGAGAGAGAGAGAGAGAGCATCCTAACTGCTGCAGCAGTATTGCAAATCGCTGCGTTGCCATGCTTTCGAGGCCCAGTGGCAACCGCGGCAGCGACGAGCGCCAGCGTGCTGGAGCTTGTGGACGAGTGCAAGGCTGGCAGCTTCGGCTGTCATGTAAGATTGCGATCGTGTCGAGATGACGCTTCGGGATTTGTTTCGCAATGCAAGCTGTCTGCAGGCCTTTACACAGGTTTGCAAGTCCGCTCTAAGCTTGACTTTCGCCGTTGCATCTGGCAGCTGACCGGCCAGTAAAACCGAGTGTCCGCATGCGAACTTCCAAGTAGACTTGGTGCGATATTTAGAATCCATTGAAGACTTGCCCTGGCCCGAGGATGTGGGATACTGGCTGCTGTTGCATATCGTGCCACAAGATACGCCAAAGCCGCTGAGCTCAATCACCTGTCGCACAGTTCCCAACCGCAAGAGTTTGGCAGCAGGAGCCGACCAAGTCTTGTGAGGCTTACTGTTACTACGACGACGACTGTTGATGCTGATGATGACTGTTGCTACTGCTACTAATACAAATACTAGTACCAATACTCATACTACGACGACAACAACAACTGCTACTACCACCACAACAACTAGTCCCACAGCTACTACTACTAATAATTATAACAATAACAATAATAATAATCATAACAACAATGATGATACTGCCACTGCCACTGCCACTGCTATTTGTACTGCTACTGCTACTGCCATTACTGCCACTACTGCCGCTACGGCTGCTGCTACTATTGCTGCTATTTTACCACTGCTACTACTACTTCACCAAACCTATGCTCTACTGGAACCACCCTGCTTCTTCACGATAGGTTGCACCTGGTGGCCGCGCTCTCACCCTTATGTCAAGACTGCTTGGAACGTTCTCGAACGTGACTTGACAAACAACTCGCCTCAAGACCTCCACCCTGAAACCCGGCACCCAGGAGGGCTGGTGAGGCCTAGTGGCCTGGTGGTGTGATTCCTGAAGCCTTGGACTTGCGGCAGCTGTGAGTCGAGCAGAGGCCCAGTGCCGCCGAGTCCACGGGCGTCGCTGCCGATGCCTGCGGAGGTGGTGGGTTGCATCCAAAACCTCAGTCTCACCTCCTAAGAGCAGCCTTGTTCTTCCGGATTTTGAAAGGATGTCCTTGTCCGCACTGGTAAGCGTAGTGGCAGGAAGAAGCAGCTGCTGCATGAGCAATAAGCACTATGTCTCAGAAGTCTTGTTGTTGAGCATTGCGCTGCCGTGCTACGGCAGAAGCATCTTCATTGGAATAGCGCCGGACGACAGAGCTGACTTGTAGCGACGAGCCGCACGCTGCTGTGCGAATGCTTCCACTCCAACTTCAAATCAAGAAACCCAACCTCGCCATGAATATGCACTCAGACCCAAACAGGATGGCAGCTGCTGGAATGGATTTGGTTCAACATGTCGCTTCCTTAGCTAGTCTTGCATTGAAGTAGAGTCGAGTAGAGCCTGCATCCTTGTTGGTTCCAGATTCCACGCAAGCCCTTCAAGCCTAATCATCCTGGTGTTGGCTGACAGTTAGCCTCCAATTCAAGACCGGCGGTCTTGTCTGAGCAGTCTTGAGAATCTCCAGACGTCTAACAAAAGCAACACCAACATCATACACATGACGCTTGTAAGAAAAGTGGCCATTGGACCCAGTCCAAACACACATTCAAGACTCCGATCCACTGATAGCACCGATGAGAGCGATGCAGATCCAGTTGAAATAACTTCCCTGCCAAAAGTGGTTCTGCGTGTTTACCAAACCTAGGCAGAAGTCTGCCGTGTGGTTTGGTTCCAAGCACTCCAGCCTAGGAGCACTCCATCTTTTCGGGCTGCCGTGGATGAAAATTTTCGGCTCTTCGTGGTTGTGGATGCCAGGCTGCCGGTTTTCTGAGCCGTCGCGCAAGGTAAGCTGTAGAAGTGGTTGTGCGCTGATGTCATGCCCTTCTCACTGTGTGTGTGTGTGTGCTCAGCCTCTCGAAACTTGATAGTGACATGAGTTCATGCTGAATGGGAGTCGCCCTGGCTCCCATCAGTTTGATAATGATGACTTTTTCCTTACGGCTGTGGTTCGTCTTGCCCTACTTAGCAGCTTGTTACGACTGTTGTGATCATGTCTTTTCTTGCAAGGTATACCTGTGCATCTACATCGTTTTGAGAATGGCTCGCGTGTTGCTACTTTTCAATTGGCGTTCCTCTTCAAAAGTTCAGCTTGTTGCGATGTTGACTCTTGCTGTTAAGTTCTCTCGCATGCATGCCGCTGATGCTCTTGTTGCTAGCGACACTCATCAGGCGGCTGCGGCTGCGGCTGCGGCTGCGGCTGCGGCTGCGGCTGCGGCTGCTGCTGCGACTGCTGCTGCTGCGACTGCTGCTGCTGCGACTGCTGCTGCGGCGACTGCTGCTGCGACTGCGACTGCTACTGCTACCGCTACCGCTACCGCTACCGCTACCGCTACCGCTACTGCTACTACTGCTGCTGCTACTGCTACTACTGCTGCTGCTACTGCTACTGTTACTACTACAACGACGACGATGACGGCGACTGCTGCTGCTGCTGCTGCTGCGGCGAGTACAGTACGATTCGTTCCGCTCCTGCTTCTGCTTCTACCACGACTACGACTAGTAATACCCGTGTCCCTCCTCCTGTTCCGGGCAACATTCTGCCACCATGTCGGCATCATGTTCCTCACGGTCCTAACGAAGGGTTCTGACAGTCGTGCCGACGATGATGTATATGATCGTTCGTCATCATGCTGATTGCTTTGGTGATTGTGTTGGTAATGTGATGTTAATGGGGCCATTGCACCAAAAAGCCATCACCGCCATCACACTCATCAGTCTCGTTGCCAACGTCAGGCTGAGTACAAAGAGTCGAACTTGGAAGGCAACCTCAGCTGCTCCCCGATTGGATCTTCCGCTCCAGCTGCGACGCCATTTGCGTTTTCGACAGCCAGACAGGCCAAGGGGTCGGGCCACAGTCGAAGGCACTGGATCGGATTTAAGGGCCTTAAGCAGACCTGTGGTGGAATCTTGATGCTGGCGAGGGAGACCTTCAATCCACTCGTGCTTCAGCTTACCACCGCGACCACGGCGATAATCACAGCAGTCACGACAGGTACTATTCCTACATTCAATATCATAACTATCCCTGCTCTTGGCGATAACCTCGATCACGCCAACTACCACTGCCACTGCGACTGCAACTCTTGTTAGTGATGCTAGCGCTCGACGGGTACAATCGTGAGAGAAATTTGAACCGGAAAAGCTGCTAGCGTAGAAGCATCGCAAAGCCCCGCAAAAACAGTAGTTAGGCATTGTTGGTTCGACTTACCTGCCAGCGAACGTACACGAGCAAGCCGAAGCTCCTGGTGCTGTCACGCAGGCCTCTCCCTGCGCCCCTGGCTTGAGCTCTCTCTCAACTCGCTACGCAGGCCTGACACATTCTGATGCAGCCACAACGAGCTTGTTGATATAAGCCTTGTGGTCCAGGGAGCCTGTTTTAGGAAGAGCTGAGAAAAAGAACGAAACTTGTCGATTTGCGATTCTTTCGAGCCACAGAAAAGCCGTGTTGATGCGAGAATATAGTATCCGAGGTGCACATGTAATTAGTTCCTTTCCGACTCATGCTCGATCTCTTGAGTCCCGTTCTTATTCTCGCAATTGTTGCTCTGATTTGTAACTAATCTGCACATGCTTGGAGGGATCCTCAGAGCGAGCTCTCAGCTCCCAGGAAGACACCCCTCATGCCGGAGATCTCCACACAGGCTACGACGCCCACGAACAGCAAGGCCCGTTTCCCGGCTCAGGGCTTTAGCTTTTAGGTTTCAATCCGTTTGGAATGAGGGATATGTTGAAATGGTTGCAGATGGAAGGTTGTCGGTCATGCTTTCTCGTAGCAGTCATGCCTCGTTGCATTCAACGCAATGCTCGGAACTTGCTCCTTGCTGTCGATGCAACCCTATTTTGGAGCCGCTGCTATTATTGGTACTGCCTTGAGTCGCTTGCTCTGGTGCTAGCAGGCGCATCCTTGTTCTCCTGTGGTTGCTTCGTCGCGGTGTGCCGATGTTGTACTCCTGTCGTTTGAAATTGCTGTCGTGGCAATTGAGTAGTCATGCCGATGATTCTACGACACTGTTCTAGCACCAGTGCTGCAAGGACTACTACACTTAGTGCTGCCAGTAGTAGGAACCATGCAGGAGAGGAGGAAGGGCAGAGGTTGAAGAGCAGAACGGGATGGTAGAAGCCGTGAGGTCGTCTAACTTTTCGCGGTTGTAGTAGCATAATTGGAAGTAGCCAGGGTGGTGAACTTGGATCCTGCAGGCTCATGAAGGAATTACAGCATGCATAGGATTTCGGGGCGAGCATCTTCCAAGCAAATCAACATGGGCAGGCGCAACATGCCACTGACAAACGATTTGCAATGTCGGATTGAACACTGACGCGCGTTTGTTCCCACGAGTGAGGGGCTTTGTGAAAGCCCTCAGCCAACAACAGTCAAGTAGTCAGCAAGCAGGGCATCTAGCAGGTCCTAGCAACCTAATGAGTCCTCCGTTCATTGAACCGAAGGCCCATGATGGCACCATTTCCTTCCCATCGAGCAGGGTGAGAATCCATTACTGCTTATCCGCATGCACCGCTGGCACAGGGCAAGTACGACCTCCTGGGTGGCTACAGAAGCTTGCAGGCACCTTCTCGTGGTCCATGTTGATGCGACATGGTTTCACTGTAGCGTCGCGCACTATCGCCACAAATTTTCAAAACCTTCGTGGAGTCTTCGCCGATCATTGCCAGGATGCCGCCAGCAACAGTCGCCTCGCGGCGCAGGCCGTGTTCGTCAGCTGTAACCTCACATGGTTTGTATTGGGATGTGGGCTTCGTTGCGGAGTTCTATCTCTTGTGAGACTTGTCTTGTCGCGATTTGATTTCGGATCTTCCGCACAGGCATCTCTTGGAACTGACCAACTGACCAGGTACAACGTTAAGCAGCTGGGGTTTCGGGGTGCGCATTTTGAGGATGGGTGGCTTCGAGCCGAGGTGCGAGCTTTCGGGCGCTAGACGTTACATACCAGCTCCCAGGAGAAAACCTGAGGAGATCTGTCGCCTTTCTTGAAGGACCTCGCCCTGAGACGTTTCGCCATTGTAGGATATTGTAGGCTTATCTTGTGACACGACAGATTTTGAGGCCTCGGATTTTGTCTTCCGTTTGGCTCTTGGTCGGGGGTCGTGTCGCGCGGCCAGGGGCGAATGGCGAAGATAACATCCAGCACAGTGCTCTTCAGCTGCCCAGCTGGTTTAATCTGTGTTGTCGCCTCAAACTCTTCTTGCAAAGCTCACGAGAGTGATAGGAATAGCCAGGAATAGCAAAGACGCACCGCTAGCATTAAGGCTGCTGCAAGGAAGCTTCAGGCTCCAAAGCTGGCCTCCACTCAGTCTCCTCGGGCCCAGGCCGACTCACGCAGCCCAGCTTCGTCCCTCGGATCAGATTCGAGCAGGGGCTCACGCGGCCTGAGAGCAACCCCGAACAACATCCAGTCCCCAAAGATGTGGACTTTTGCGAGGTTGAGGAGTTCCCCCGAATCATCGAACTAAACAATAAAGTTGCACATAACATGAGGAAACAAAGCCTGTAGTCGGGCTCGGACTGTCACTGGTACAGCTGAAACTCAGTAGCACGTAAATGCCATCGTACACGGTACTTGCAAGCAACGGGCCCGCAGAAGAGCAGTGACGAAGTTCATGCAGTCGGCGGCTTCAGTAGGCGGTTCTCCTCTGGGACCGGAATGCCACCCCGCCTGCTTCGTGTGTAACTGTGTAGCCCCCACCATTATTCCTGTCTGGATGGCGATACCATCATCACCGCCATCGCCGTCATTGTCGCAATCAAAAAAATCGTAATCGTCAGCAGAAACGTTGCCACCATCACCATCTTCGTCATCACGGAGACTACCACCCAGTCTTCTTCATTGTGCTCAGCCGGCCTTATCATACCTGCACAGGGTGTTGACCCATCCGTAAACGATGCGCCGCGCTCACACCACTGCGGCTCCAGGTTCTGAAGCTCGGACTCACGGCCTTGCGTTTGTCGCTGCAATTGGATTCTTGCCCTGCATCAAATTCCTAAGTGCGAGGACTTCGGCTTTGTAAGGTCCTGGGGGTCCAGGACGCGACCTCGTCATGATGGCTGTATCTGAAAAGCACACACGTCTTCCAGACATTTCCAGACGACCATGATCCATCACCTCTGCTCTATGCCGGACAAAGGTCCTGGCTGCAGTGGCGGCATGCGAGCGTGCCACCTGCTTGCCTGCGGCCTGGCTGATGAGGGCGCGACCCATAGGACTGCCTGCCGGCTTGCTCTTCGTGTCTTCAGGGTGGTGCTTTGGAGAGCGATTCTCGGGACTGTCGCCAACATTCGTCTCCCCCTGTCGCAAGAAGCGAATCTCATTTCCTGGCTCCTCTGCTTGACCAGGGAATCTAGAGAGGGCGCCGAAACCTCAAAACCCCCAGCCCCAAGGGCGATACGTTCATCACATACATCTGTTGCGAGGTGTGTCGGCGGATGTCGGTTTCGGTTGTATTTGGCGTTGTCAGTTTGGCTACAGTGAGAGATCAGCAAGTAGCAGGTGAGCCAGGAGTCGTGTCATGCCTCTGACCCACAAGAGCATGCTCCATGTTGGTTGGATAGGTGATCAACCAGGCGAAGCCCAATCGATACTCACCAAGTCGCTTTGTGAACCACCGCCTAGTTTGATGGAGCCAATCATCGCCATGACTGTTACCGAACACTATAATGATTTTGATACAGATTACTACTAGTTGCTCATACTACGAATCGAAGACTATGACTATGATTACTATTATTAATATCATGAGAATTGTCACTAATTACAACTACCACTATCAGTGACCGATACCGTTCTTCGACGCCTCACAAACAAATTTGACCAGATCCGTGTAAATAGTAAAGCGATAGAAGTCCTTGTAGCGAAGGAGGCTTGGATGCCGATCTGGCAGACGAGGCCAGCATGCAGAGTCCGACAGACAGAGAGAAAGACGGAAAGGGCCCGGCCAGCGTCTCCTCGTCCCACTGCCTAGTAGCATGTTGGAGGCCGAGAACTTGAGAGCATCCGGTGATCCCCTCAAAGCTTTTGTCTTGCGCACTGACCACACCTCGTCTCTCATAGAAATTCAGCATCTTCTGCTACCGGCCTCAAGGCTCCAATGCCCTTCGGCCAACGGACTCGTATCTCGAAGCTCTGAAGCAAAGACAACAAGGATCCTTGCAAGATAAGGGCCCCTCAACAAATCTCATGAATGGCTCCCCGCGCCAAAACCCTACTACTGCTAGTGAGTTTGGGCAAGTTCCCGCACTCTGAGAAGATTCCCTGCAACACCCGACCCTTCCCAAAGCTTCCGATTCCCTTCAGATTCAGGCACTCCACAGGCTGATCCAGCTACAGGGTTTCGAAGCATCTGCTGCTGGGCTGCGGCAAAAGTTCCCTAGCCCTGAACTCCGTCGACATTGCGATAGATGTACTCACCGCATTCACCGCTAGCATGACGTAAAACTCACCGTAAGCATGTCTTAAAGCATCCGCTCAGGTTACCATTCGCTCCGTGGATGTTCTGGAAATCGTGGCGACATTGATCGTGCACCAGGTGGGCAACTTTTATTCCATGATTTGAATTAGCTCCGCTGGCACTTAGCCAGGTCTGGTGTGCGCTTTGAACTTCTCCGTGGCTGGAAAATTTGTTTCACGGCTTGTGAGATAACATGCTTCCCCGAAGCCCGAGTAGCTTGTTGCATCCCGTGTATTCTCGCTGTCGGCTGTGTCGATTTTGTCATCTTCTTGCACGCCTTTCTCGTTGTAGTAGTTGGCCCCCTTGTTTCGAAACGCCAATTGGGCCAACATCCAGTCAAACCTGGCGCAATCTGTGCAAGTCGCACAAGACAACCTCGCTGCCAGGCAGAGGAGGTTGGGCCTCTTTGGGTCGACGTGGGCGGCAACCCAGGCCGTTTCGAAGCACGAGCATACTTCTGAAGCCGGAAATGGTTTTCGGGTTTCTGGTCGAAGCTTGGGGCTACCATGATCCTAACGCTTCAGACTGCCGTCAGTTAGATCCTAGACTCCTAGACAGCCTCACGACCTCACCCCGAACCCCGAAAGTGAGCTTGGAGTTGCTCTCTTCTCGTCGCGCAGGTCCCGGGGCCTCGCCAATCTTGTACAACATGCCTCGGCCCAAGCCGATCTGAAGCGTACTAGACGGGGCTGCGCGGCTTTAGGCTTGCTTTAACAGCTAGGCTTGTTTTTGGCTCATTGTACACCTCGAGTCCTTGGGACCTTCAGGCTTCAACTCATTAGGAAGCATGTCAATGTGTATTAGCATCACGAGAATTTCGGCACACCTAGCGAGCGGATGGACTGTACCTTTATCTCTTTACGGGTTCAAAGCCCTGAGCAACAATCGCAAGACCCGAAGCAACCTGTGAAATGCAGGATGCCCGCAGGCAATGTCTCACCGGCTGAACTAGGACGAAGACGGACAAGATGAAACTTGACACAGTCACATAGTCAAGACTGGTTGTAAGATCTAAGATAGCTATGCATGAAGAGGTGTATATATGTGTAGCACACACGTATATACACAGGATGTTCATGTACGTAGGTCTCTTCGGCCGGGGCCAGAGCCTGTGCTCATCCAAGAGGACGGCCTGTCCTACGCCCCGAGCGCTAAGCCCGAAAGCTGACTCTCTGCCGGCAGGCTGCGATTCTTTCGGCAGAGCCACTTGTCCCGGCACAGGCCACTGGGTCGTCCATAACCTCGTTTGCGTTAGGACCTGCTGGTGCCAGGACTATGCATGCTCTAGCACTAATGGAACTTCAAGTCACAAGTTCGTGTTCCATGGGCATGTCGTCCATGAACAAGTCGCAGCATGCCTTCCGGTGGACTTGCATAAGGTAGAGGAATCAGGCTTGAGGGGCTGCGCCAAGCTGCTGAATGTTTTCCGAGCTCTGCCTGGAAGAAGCCATATTTCGTTGAGCTTGGGGCTGGAGCACGTTTTCGGCTCCGCACAGCTAGAAAACCCTGAATGCTAAAGCATTGAACCATCTCAAAAAGGCAAGATACAACGGGCCCGCCGCCCTCCGCCGACAGCAGCAAGATGAGCCAGTTGAGCAGCTTGGAGGTACGGTTTTCCAGTCACATTCAGCTACACCATCTTCATGTTTTCGGCTCATGCAGTTCATGCGCAGTAGGTATTGCAGTCAAGAGGCCTGTCTCTGACCATTCATATGTCCGCAGTCGAAGACTATTCCGTCAGAGGACACAAGAACCAAACTGTTCCCAAGAGCATACATCTTTTGCGGAAGTGCAGCCGGCGGTAGAGGCCTTAATACACAGCTACCCAGCTGCCGAAATATTCTTTGAAAGCTGAAATGAACTCCCAGCGGAAGACGTCCTGTTTAGGGGCTGCAGTTGCGCACGCAGACGCAGGCTTCCAAGCGAACCAGTACGCAGCGGAACTCCTCGCTGAACGTGCTGAGCGCCGTCGCTTAGCTGAAGAAGCTGTGCTCAGTGCATCATCTGCATCAGCAGCAGCAGCAGCAGCAGCAGCGGTTGCATCGATGATAGTCGTCGTCGTAGGATGAACTTCTGCACACAACTGAGTTTGATCTACAGTCTTTTTCGCGAGGGGACTTGACAAAAGGCGATGAGAAGGGCGTAGCAGAATTGGGATTGCCTGCAGAGCTCCACGCTGTCGGACGAACAAGGTCTGCACTTCCAGTACTGCAGTGGATGGACGAGATTTTGCCCACCTCACCGGTGCATGCATGCTTCAAGCACTCTGAAGAGTGGAACCCGACACCCCCTTGTTGTGTCTGCAGGCTCCGTCAGAAAATGTTAACACAGCACGAGGTAGGATGATATGACGAGCATAAACGGCGGTCCCACAGTAGTACTCGTCAAGGCAGTGCAGCTTCGTACATAAGCGAGGATTGGCATGGAGATCCTATCGTCGGCATTCCCAGAAGCAGTCGGAGAAAAATGACACAAAAACTCACGCACGTCGCGCAGACACTTCAGGCCTAGTCTTGAGAACAGCCACAAGTGGTTTCACTGTACAAAACAGCTCCACAGAGAAAGGGGTCGGGGAAGCTAAATGCCCTGTGCGCTTCCGACATGTGTAATCTATCGCAGGTCGGCAGGAAGTCCAAGAAGCCGATGGAGGCCGGGCGCCATTTGGGGCTTACTCACCTGGAAGGCATTGGGCTTATTCTCCATTGAGGCGTCTGTTTGTAGCTGACACAGGTGGGCGTGTCTCAGGTTACTTTGGGCTCTATAGTGCCTACTATAGGGCTTCGGAACTGCAGGTAGAGGCCATCGTGGACGAGGCGCTTTGGTACCATGACGAGAACTACGAGCGCCTGGGCTTTGCAACGAAAACCGAGATGCCATTAAAGCCTTTACAGTCATCTTCGCTTGTAAAAACACGTTGCATATGCAGCGCCTGCTTTCCCAAGCCTGATCTGCGCAACTGCCGATTTCAGCAGCCGTTCGCTCCGCAATTTCAGGCCGTCCGAAGGCTCCCTGTGGACGATCTTTGGCCAAGTCGCCGGAGCCTCACACTTCAGTCGCTGTACGTGCGGAGCTGTACTGTCGAGGCTCAACGGCTTGCAAAAATATACTTAGGTCACCGGATATACCGTACATATGTGCATATATATTATATATATACATAGATACACACATATTGGTGTGTGTGTGTGTGTGTACGTACATGGTAGGCAGGCAGGCAGGCAGGCAGGCAGGCAGGCAGGCAGGCAGGCAGGCAGGCAGGCAGGCAGGCAGGCAGGCAGGCAGGCAGGCAGGCAGGCAGGCAAGCAGGCAAGCAAGCAAGCA